AAAAAGAGGTTTGAGTTTTTCCTGCTTTTCTTTTTTGGACAATTTACACATGAGGGTGGTTAAAGGGCACCACTGGTTGGTCCTACCTCTTTTCTTCTGTATCCCTTGTTTGATTCTGCCTGTCATGCCTTTTCCTAGTTCTAGATGACTGTTGTTATGTTGATGCACATCTCTTTAACGCAAGTGAATATTAAGCACTGTACTCGTATTTGTTTCCAGCATGCAGTTGGCTGTGGCTGCACACATTCCAGAGTCCCTTGGGGGCCAAGGTGGAGAAGTTGTCTACATGGACACAGAAGGGAGTTTCATGATAGATAGGCTGGTGGACATGGCTACAGCTACTGTGAAGCATTTCCAGGAACTGGGAGGGCCGCAAGGGTCTTCAGGTAGGAATTTCTCTCCAGTCCGGATTGCTGCTGGATGCTTTGTTCAATGGGCCCCATTTATAAACTTCACGGTTATAACAGTATTTCGGCTGTAGCAGGCTTAGTTTAAATCCCAGAGTCCGATGTCTCATTAAGTATGGTTAAAAAGTTCTTTTATAGCAGACATTTGGACAGATATGCTCGGTTATATTATAGCTGTGGTCCAACCTCTGACAAAATTTTAAAACAAATGGGCAAGACAGCAGGAAAAAGCAAACTAGGCGAAACAACAGCCAATACTGATGGTGATTGGACGTACATGATCCATAGTGTGACAGTAGGTGAGTAGGCCCAGGGTTGGGTTGATTTAAATCAGGTCGATTTAAGTCAGTTGATTTTTTAAATTTAAATCAACTTGATTTTTAAAAAAAATTCAGTGATTTAAATCACTTTTTAAAAAAAATAATTTTTATTTAGTTTTTACAGTTTAACATTCAGAATTCCTTTCCTAGGTTTTATAAAACAGATATAAGGTTTAGTAGACTAATATAATCATGCTTAAAAGTCTGCTTTCCCCCCCTCTCACTGTAAAATAAATCAGTATTCAGTTTACTTTTTTTTTATAATTGAAATCAGGGTTGGGTTGATTTGAATCAGGTCGATTTAAATCAGTTGATTTTTAAAATTTTTAATCAACTTGATTTCTAAAATAAAAATCAGTGATTTAAATCACTTTTAAAAAATGTATTCAGTTTTTACATATTTAACACGGCGCACTGGCAGTGGAATTTAGTTGCCGCTGGGGGTTCCCCGCCGGGCGCCTTATCACGTCGGGGTCATGGGGGTCAGCTCCCTGTCGCCACTCTGTCTGGGCCGATTTAATTTTTGGTACTTTTCAACGTACAATTTAGGGTGTATCCTTGTATTTATAGTAATTCTCATTTAGTGCACCCAAAGCATGCATTTCTGCTCTTGAGACTCAAAAAAGAACGGACGTTGTAACTTGTCTGGTTATTTCGTTAGACGCGCTGGAGTCGGCAGTGCTAAATTGTAATTTTTTTGGACTAGCTTGAATGAAAAAAAAATCAATATAAAAAAAAGGCCTTGTCAAAATCTGTCGAACTTTTGAAACATGAACGATATAGCATTGGTGCAGATACTCAGAAAAGATGGTATCTGCGCATATAATAGAAAGCTGTAATTTTGCAACTTTATCCATCGGGCACACAATTCGCTATGAAGTAATTCCTCCAAATACAACTTTATGTGTCTAATATAATCGTGAATATTCGCATATTTTCTCGAAAGTTTATAAAAGTTACTATGAAGTTTTTCTATGAAAAGTACAAATCGATTTTAGTGCTAGAATACATCTTCATTGTAGATCTAATACACGAGCAGCATCTGTTACACTCCAGAAATTCCTTATTTTTCTTAAAACGCTAAGTCTAGGTTTTGTAAGTTGACTGAATAATAGGGATGACTTCTCGTAATTGGGTTATAAGAATAATTTCTAGCTTTCCAGAGACACTGAATCAGCACCAGACTTTTTAAGCTTTATTTTTCGTTTCTATGACCATTTGCAATAACTGACAATGTGACTGATTTCTTTACATTCATAATTGTGTCCGCGCATATTTCCGACACAAAAACTATGAATGTGTTAGCTGTCATTATTTTTATTCCATACAAGAAGTTTATCTCTACCCATGTATTTACACGGTTTTGTGGGTTTTTTTAATCGCTTAGATTCTATATTATATCTTTTTAGTTGTATGCAGGCTGCCACAGACACAGCATGATTCATGAACAAACGCAGAGTAACTTTCTATTGTTTAATAGTAAAATAAGAGCTAACGCTGATCGTCTTTAGTTAAAAAATGCCGAAGTGCATCTTTCTTTTCTTATAACTTGACTATTACTACTCGAGCAGATTTAAGATTTCTCATGATAAAAGAAATGATATTCATAGTCAGTTTAACACAGATTTTGGAGAGATCTGCCGTGCCTTTTTTAAATTAACAATCATTTATTCATGGCTAACGCAGAATAAATCTCAAGACATTGAGCTTTTAGTACATCGGCGTAATGGTTTGCTATGTGGGATGGGGAAGAAGTTCTATCATTTTAAACAAAGTCAAAAATGCGAACTTCCTAACCGACACCGGCAAAGTCGCTTCAGGGCTCATTAACCCCGTGACCCCGAGCCGGGGAGCTCCGGCGGGCTGCTGAGTCACGCGAACTAAAAGTAACAGAATCGGGCCTTTCCTTGGTTTTATAAAACAGATATAAGGTTTAGTAGACTAATTAATGCTTAAAAGTCTGCTTTCCTCCTGTCACTGTAAAATAATACAATATTCAATGTACTTTTTTGTCATAATTGAAATTAGCATTTTTAATTTATTTTTTAGACAAACACAAGCGCGCACACACACACACACACTCACACACACACACACACACACACACACACACACACACACACACACACACACACACACACACACACATTCACAACACACACACAGATTAAGGAAATGTCTAGATTTATTAACTGTAAACTTAATAATTTATTGAATGTCAGATCAAATCAATTGTGACTGAGGAGAATAAAAACATTAACAAATAAATCACAAACAATATAACAAAAATAATAATTGAGATATTATTGCAAGGAACAAAATGGCAACTGAAGTAATTTTGAAAGTAAATCACTTTCATTCTATAATAGTATTACAATAACCAACAATTTAGATCATGTTGAAATTACCCATTGAGTTGTTTGTGGTTCAAGGTTTTGAAAAGAAACACAATACAGTATTCAATTTACTTTTTTTTCATAAATTGAAATTAGCACTTTTTTTTTCTTTTTAGACAAACACAAGCGTGCACACACACACACACACACACACTAATAAAATGCAAGTTTATCTATGCATAATTACCCCCTCCCCCCTCCCCCCATCCTTCCTTTTAGACTGACATTTTCTTCATTTTTTGTCTGTAGCCATGAATAATTCACTGTTATAGCAGATTAAGGCTTTCTTTTGCAGTTGCTTAAATTAATCTTTAGTTAAAATAAATAAAGGCAATGCATTTTGCACTAAAAAAACATACCTTTGCCACTAAGAGTCCCAAACTGTGTCAACATTTCAAAAAAATTTATTTTTTAAAAATCCGATTTAAATTTTTTAAAAATCGATTTTTAAAATTTGTATTAAAAAAGAAAATCACCAACCCTGAGTAGGACTAAGTTGATTGTTTAGGCTACACATACCGTATATATATAGGGGAGGAACGGGGAAAGTTGGTGTTGGTGCAAATGTGGTCAGTGACTTAATTAACGTAGTGACCTTGGTCTGACACCACATGGACAGAACTCTTTTTCTCTTACTGAATAAAAAGGAACATCTTTTTCACTCAGTCTGTGTGTTCCAGATGATGTGCTTCAGCTCTCAGTGGGTGATATACTCTCAGGGATCCATTACTTTCGCTGTCATGATCATGTTGAGCTTCAGGCTACCATACATCTACTGCCATCATTCTTGAAAGACCACAGCAAAGTAAGTGTTGTTCTTTTTAGTGTTCCATATATATTCTGTCTTGCCTACTACTGTAGGAATGGTAGCCCCTGTCCTGTGAAGAATTTGACAGTGGCTCCAGCTGCACAGTGGTTATGAAGAGTTCTTTTTACTTAACTTTTATACGCCCCCCCC